ATCAGATGCCTGGCCCGAGGCAACGCAAAATGCTGTATTGCAAGCACTCAGAACATGCTTAAACCAGCCTTGTCGACCTTACGAAGCCACTGACAGGCGGTTAAGGCTCGCGAGCAAGGGGAGCCTGGCGCAATGAAGTCGCAGAGAGTATGGCTTTGTCCAGCTTGCCTGGAGAGCCCGTCCTCACCACGTCGACAACAAGCCGGAATCCGACTCGTGTTGTGCGGCCACAGCAGAGATTCCTCCACAGAGCATGTCCAGACTGCAACCAGACTCGTCTCATATCTCGCGTAGCTTATCCGAGTTTTCTCATCCTCTTAGCGGAGACGGATACATATTGCCGTGTGGCAGAGCTTCCGACGAGGCACCGAAGGCACGTGTGGGCGACCTTCAGCTTATTGCCGGCATCAACACAGGCCTATCGTCTCAGAGTGATGAGAAGCCAGTACATCTGGTGCCGTCTCGTGACAGCTGGATATGGTTCCTTGCAATATCCCCTTCCTAGAGGTTCATATTGACTGGGCCTGCTGCTGTGCGGTATCTTGTAGGGTCTTGATGACCACGTGATGAGCATTTTGACATGCCACCAAGCTCTTCTCGAGTAGTTCGTTATATAGAGCCAAACCATTGCCCGGCAGCGTCCCTTTGAACCAGACATTGGTCACTTCTCCTCTGGACGGCAGATAAGCGGTGCAGCATGCTGCGTGGACCTTGTCGTGATCGGAGGAGGTGGGATCCAGTACGACTAGAGGCTTGTCTGTGCCCGTCTTTGTCACAACGGCAGCCACGCCGCCGGCGACTGTGTCAACACAGTCAATGCCTGCATCGGCTATGGCAGCCGAAGCGACCGTGATACAGCCGCTGAGGACATTCATCATGTCCCAATCCGCCTCCTGCTGGTAGTCGCTCGCGTCGCGGTCCTGGTCGCCTTCTATGATCGTGACAATGATGTCGACACCGCTCTTGGGCCAGCGGTCAGCGATGATGGCGCCCCGCAGTGCTGTCTCGAGGTGGACGCCCAGATCTCGCTCGCTCGAGTCTCGAAGATAGCCCCGGCGCTGTCTTGTCGCAAATGGCGCATACTTGACATGTGTCGTGAGGATCATATGCGGAGAGAAAGGCGCGGATCGAGGCAGAGCTCGTGGGCCGTGGACGGTGCAAGTGAGCTTCATTCGTGTGCTACCACCAAGACCACCGGGGCTGGCGTTGGGGTTCTCCAGCTCCATGTAGGCGGAGCCAGAGGCCGAAGGAGTAACACCTGTTCTCAAGACTACGATATGCTTGTCAGTATATATGATACCATGAGGCGTTCGCCGCTGGCTCCAAGGTCCTTACAGATCTTCCGAGAACCGTCCACTTTCGTCTTGGACGGGCCTTGCGCCGGCGGACCTGCGAAGACTGGCGGCAGGGTGGTGCCGGTAGGACCATTGATTCTCCTCCTGTCCGCCATGATGATGTACACGAGAGACCGAAGTGCCGGTTGCCGCAAAGAAGTCCGTAAGGTGTGGTGACGGGTGGTGATTGCTTGCTCGCAGTCGTCCTCCCTCCCTGCAAGTGGGCAGTCTTGCAAGTGTCATTCGAAATACTTTCTGGAGCCAAGCTCTGGCTGGTGGGCCTTCGGTCTCGGACTATCAAAGGTGGGCTGCTATCCGGAAGGCCCCACCAACGAGCCGCGCACGAGCCAATAGAGACAGCAGCAAGCTCAGAGCTCTAAGTAAATTTTTGGCTCGACGTGCAGCTCTTTCGATTTCTTCCTCCTGCCTCATCACCACATCTTCAGACACGACCGGATCGCCCGTCCACGCAGCGACCACGCGGGGTGCGTGACAACATCGGGCACAATGCTCTTTGCCTCAAGCCTATCTGGCTTCAAGGCGTAAGATCTAGAGCAGAGCCAGATCTGTCACGTCGCTCCGCGCACTCTGCGTATCGCGACTTCTGGTCGCTGTCTGAAGATTGTCTCTGCTGCATTCGTAAGTAAGAACTTGATACACTCGATCAACACCCTCCCAGCCCGCTCTTGGACACCCTCACCTCCCCCCTCTTGCTATTGATGAATCTGTTACCACAGTTCTCGCGATCACCTGAGCGACTTGAACAACATGCACTACCATCTGAAGCATCACCTCAACCTTGTCCTCTCAACCCACCATGGTCACGTGTAGGACAAAGAGACTAACTGTAACCAGACTTGTGCAGGTTCTTTGACTTGTCAGACAGCTCAACGCTGCTGCTGTATTCTCCCAGCATAGGTAAGGCACGGTCTTTATGGTTCCAACCACAAGCACAAACAACCTGAGTCGATGATGATAAACTATTTTCAGTTCTGCTTCTGAACAAGATGAAGATACCAAAATTTACCAAAAACAACCTCTGATATTATGACTCTACCCCTTCCGTCTATCACTACCACACTTCAGCTTTGTTGAGTCCCCTTAACTAACAATGTCTCAAGTCTACAGGTGTTTGTCCACTCTGCCAATCTGCCTTGTCATGTATTATTGCCCACATGTCATGATCAATGCGTAAGTCTTTTGCCTTCATTTATCACCGTACGCGCACCACCCCAGTCATCATGATCGAAAACTGTTATATCCATTCCATGATCACAGCGAGTCGAGCCGCCCTCCCGCACCGGAGCTGAGCTCCTTCTGGAGCCCAGTGATGATCGGTTGTGGAGTTTTCTCTGGACATCCTCGGATATCCTGATGTCATGCCTGGCTTCCGTTGCTGGCTCTCTTCGGGTTTCGTCTTGAGACCTGGGTGGAGCTGGCCGACTCAAGTGAATGATTTAACCGGTAGTCTGAATACAGAGACACATATCTACCCATTATACTTGGCCACAGGAACACAAGTACCTTGACTGACCAACATGACAGTTGCCCACTCGCTTTCCAACGCAAGCGAATGTGATTTGAAACGGTAAGTTGTGCAGGCAAGTGGCATGCACTGTCTCAGCACTCAGTCTCTTGGAAGAACAAACAATACGTATTATGTCTGTAGTCTTGCCACCGCAATAAGATAAAGAACTCATACATGTTTATATCTCGGTTTCTATGATGATTTCTTGTGCACGACCGTGCAGCCGCCCTGGTGCGAAGGCAGGATCATTGTGTCCGCCACAACGACGTTTTCACGTCTTCCAGCCACAAAGACGATGACCTCAGCAATGTCGTCGGGAGTCAAGGGTTCGCAGCCACTAGAACCCACATGATCGTGGTTAGCATCACACTCTCGTTGCTCGACCTTGGCCAAGCTTCAAGGCCAAGGCTGGAAGATGGACGGTGGTGAACTTACGCGTAAACGGCATCAGCCTTCGCCTTGTCGCCGTAGAAACGGACGACCGAGAACTCCTGCACATATCTCTACATTAGCCCCCCGATTTCTTTTGTCATCCCCCCAACCCCCCCCCCCCCCCAAATGCTTTGAAGACAGAGCAACCCGAACTCACCGTTTCGACCTGGCCCGGATCGATCTCCATGACCCTGACGCGTGTGTGCACGAGCTCCTTGCGGAGGGACTCGTTGAAGCTGCGCACGGCGGCCTTGGTCGCGCAGTAGATGCTGCCGCCGACGTACGGCTCGCGGCCCGCGATGCTGCCAACGTTGATGATGTCGCCCCGCCCGCCGTCGGCGCGCTTCAGGTAGGTCGGCAGCACGGCCTGCGTCATGTTGATGAGACCCGTCACGTTGGTGTCGAACATGATCTGCATGTCCTGCTCGGCGATCTCGGGGGCGCGGGCGACGCCCTTGACGAGGCCACTATGATGTTTGAACATTGCCCGTTAGCTCTCGCAGTCCAGATACCCCATGGGATCGTCCTAAGGTGGGACAATACTCTCATTCTGCAGGCGGGGGGGGGCGCAACCCTTTCTCGACAACCACTCGCAACACGGACCCGAGCTCTTCTGATAACTAGAGGCACTTACGCATTGTTGACCAGCACATCAATCTCCCTGAACTCCTCGGGCAAGCCAGCCACAAACCCGCGGACCTCGTCGGGCTTGGAGACGTCGAGCTGGACGGGCAGCACCTTGACGCCGTCGCCCACCTCGGCGTTGATGTCCTTGGCGATCTGTTCGAGCACGTCCTTCCTGCGCGCCGTGAGCACGAGCTTCAGGTTCTTGGGGCTCGTGCGGGCGAACTCGAAGGCGGTGCTGCGGCCGATGCCCGAAGAGGCGCCGGTCACGACGACCGTCTTGCCCTCGAGGCGCTTGCCCATTGCTGTGGTGGACATTGTGCGGCGGTGGTCAATGGTTCTCGGGCTCGTGTGGAGAGGCTGGCAGGGTCTAGAGACGAGCGGGCGTATAGGATTTGTCGCGGTTGCGTGCGTTCTGCTGTTGCGGACGACCACGAGAGGACGTGAGCAAGACTGCTGGCTCAAAGGGAGGTGGTGTAGAGTGCGCAGTGTGTTCCTGAAAGCCTGCATGGGGACAGCTAGACAAACCAGTATAAGTATGACTCGACCGTGCAGGTGGACAAGAAGGGAGTTGAACAGGAACTCGGGGTTCAAAGCGGAGGAAGTGGGAACAAAGAGGGAATAAAACCCGAGATGACTAAATTCGAGTCCCCGCGGTCCAGATCGGCTATCGAAGGATTTATCTACGTGAGGGGACGGAGCCGTAGTTCGACAATGCAGCTCGGAATTGGAATCACCAATTGGTTTAAAAATCGTGTTAAAATAAAATAAACCCTTTCTACTTTGACTATTGTGGTCCCTTATTGTCCATTCTTCCATTGCTATACACTAAGGACTTTTTGTCCTCTCTTTCTCGTCAGCAGCAAAGAGCTGTTTGGGATAATGACGCCCCGGGCTCTGTCGTCACTTGAGAGCACGATGGTGCGAAACCCCCACACTTCCCCTCCTCCCCTCCCGCTCCGATGCGGAGATGCCACCAGCAGTGCCCGAAGGCGGCGAGGCGAGATGATTTCATTGGAGGCATGGCTGCAGGCCGTCTACATAAAGCGTACTAACAGCTGTGCCTCTCAACCACCAATCACGGTTGTGTAGTGTAGCGGTTAGCACGTGGGATTTTGATCACATAAATCTTCCTGAGACCCCGGTTCGAGCCCGGGCACGACCTCATGCAACGCTTTCTTTTTGCAGTGTCTGTGCGGCACCAGCTTGCCTGGTTCGATGGTGTCAACGAGAACTTGGAGAACTAGATGTTTACCATTTCTTTCTTTTTGAATTCCGCCATTCTGCTAGCATCAGATGAGAGGTTGAAAAGGAACCCACAGAGCAAGTGCGCTAACACGGTAGATTGTGGTACGACAGTGTTTGCTTTCCTACTCAGGCCAGTGTTCACATTGAGGGCGGGCAGTTTAACATTTCATCCATATTACTGCCGGATACATGCCGCCGAAGGCTTTCTGCTCTTGTAGGTGCTGGTCTGATTGCAGAGGCTGCAGAACCCGTTTACAGCTGGTTCATACGAAGTGTTTATACAATCCATTGTCTTTACACTAGCAAGAGAAATCTGCTCAGCAGACCAACTTCTACTTTCTATTCTACATATGCATTATAGTCTTGCGCAATCAGACTCAGACTCAGAAGCTCATAAGATCTGCCAGGTTCTGTCAGCATATTTCAAACATTGAAAATCGAGAGGTGAAGAAAAAAGAAACTTACCTCGCCCGAAAAGTCCTCTCTTGGTCCAGTCCATGGCCATCAGGACTCTTGTCCGCATGCCCACGCTCTGGGCAAAGTACGCACCTCTCCAGGCATACACAGCCCAGAGCCCACCCATCACGTTCCAGCCGTTGCCTAGGTCGAAGACCGCCGAGTTGCCGACATACGCCAGACTGCCGAGGTGGTGGTACTCGAATGCCTTGTACACTGCGGCGTCGAGGTCGCCGTCGCGGATGTCGTTTGTGCTCAGGCCGGGAGCGGCGTGGGCCATCGCGTTGAACTTCTTAGCCAGATACATGCCCTGCTGATTAGCGCGCTGCGCAGTGGCGGGCAGCGATGTGAGCTTGCTGTCGATCTGCATCAGGAGCTCCCGGAGCTCGCCAAAGTCGAGCGTGCCGGACTGGTTCTTGTCGTACTGCTGGAACAACTTATCGAGGCGCTTCAGGTGCGCGACGGACTGCGGGAACCGCTTCTTCACATCGGCGGCAACGTTGCGCCAGTCGGAGAAGTGCAGCTCTAGGGTTTCAGGGTCCTTGCCATGCTTGAACGCGACGCCTCGGAGGAACGACACAATGTTCTCGGCAACGTTATTCTGAACCGTGGAGCAGTCTCCGATCGCGTACACGTCTCCGAGAGGTGTGCCATTCAGGCGCAGGTGCGTGTCTGTCTCGAGCGCATGCCTGTTGTTCTGGAGCGGGCCGAGCTTCTCGGCGATCTTGCGGCAGATCTCGGCTTGCGAAACACCAGTTGACCATAAACAGAAACCCATGGGCAATTCCTTGTTCACAAGCGTCCCGTCGTCCAGCTTCTGAGTGAACATGATCTTGTCCGGGTGAACCTCCTGGACACGGGAGTTCGTGAGGACCTCGACCTGGTCGCGTGCGAACCGCTCCTCGGCATATTTAGAGACAGCTTCGTCGTAGGTGTTCAGGATGTGGCCGCGACTTTGGATCAAGTGTACCGAGATCTCGTTGCGAAGGATCCGAGGGAACCTTCGCGTAAGATCCTCATTCAGCAAGTCGAAGACTTCTGCAGCGAACTCGACGCCTGTCGGGCCACCTCCGCTGACAACAAAGGACAGCAAGCGTCTGCGCTCCTGGTCAGAAGTTGTAGGCAGGTTAGCGAGTTCGAGGTTCTTCATGATCTGGTTGCGAATCTTGCGTGCATCATCGATGTCCTTGAGGAAGTGGCAGTTCTCCAGGCCCTTGACTCCATGCGGGTTGGTCACAGAGCCAACGGCGATGACAAGCTTATCGTAGGGAACGTAGAACCGAATCTCCTTGCCAAACGAATCAGTCTGGGATACCTCGACAAGCTTGTGAGAGAACTCGACGTCCTCGGCGGCGGCACGGAGGTAGTGGCCGCCGACACCGTGCAGGATTCGTCTGATAGGCTCAACCAAGCTGCGCATCTCGAGCGTGCCGACGGTTGCGGAAGGAAGCATGGGCGTGAACAGGAAGTAGTTCTTCGGGCTGATAACGGTAACGTGGTAGTCGTCGGGGTTGAGCTGCTTGAGTAAAGCGACACTGCCCCAGCCACCACCGAGGATGACGAGATGCGGCTTCTCCTTGCGTTGCCTGTGCTCCTCGGTATCATCGTCATCAAGGAAGGCTTTGACAATGGGCAGATTCTTGGGTCCGCCGCGCGGTGGCTCGAGAGCGGCCTGAGACACCGCACAGTCAGAAATAATGTCGGCCTCCTTGTAGGTGGTCGCGTCGTAGATGAAGAAAGCGGCAACCAGCAGGCCGACAAAGCCGACGCCGGTCCCGACAACAGCAGCAGAGCGATATGCGAAGTTGAGAACCGGCGATCGTCGCTGGGGCAAGGGCTTGCCCGAGAGGTGGCGTGTAGCACCTAAGCTCGCGGAGGGCTGCCATTGCGCTGGCGCTTGGAAGCATCGGTTGAGGGATTTCGCTGGAGATGATCGAGAAAGGTTGCTGTACAGGCGCGATTGGGTGTTGGCCTGCTGGCAAGCGAGGTCGAAGGGCGACACTGCTGGATTGATGCATCGTGATGTCTTAGGAAGGGCTGCCTTGGTCGCCAAGGACCTTAGCAAAGACCGACTTGGCGCCATGGTGCGAAGACTGTCGTGAGGTGAAGAAAGCGCACGCTTAAGCAACGCTCATCCCGCAGGCTGCGACAGGTGAAGGCGAACAGGCCGGAGGTCGACAAGACCAGGCTTACTGCATTGGACTTGAAAGAATGTCGACCCTGGAATGGGTTTATAAACGAAACAATGCGCGCTGGAACAATTGGCCGGCAGTGGGTGCAAGGACGTGGAATCTGCCAGCTCAGCTCCCACGAAACACTGAAAAGTAGTGTCTTGCTTGTTCAGCTTGAGCAGCTGTTGCGTCATCAACACACAATGCACTACTCAGCGCCCGCTGGGTCGTTCCAGGGTTGAAGGCGCCGCACAGTGGACCCAGCAGCGGGCTCGCCGAACTCGCCTCCCTCACGTTTACGGATTGGCGCCAGGGGCTCCAGGTTGTGACACCAGTGCTCGCCGTGGACGTCGAGGACGGTTGACCAGTCATATATGGCATCCTCCACGGGATGCCAAGAGCTCTGGATCCTGATCTTAAAATCAATGTTGCCAGAGTCTATTTCGTCTACCATTTTCATTCGCACCAGGTCCACTGCGGGCGCATCTCAACCTCTGCAAGGTACCGCTTCCGCGTGCCACAAACTGATTCTCGGAAGAGTCGGATCGTAGTGCGCGTATTGGTCACACCAACACGAGGATGTGGATAATGATGAGGCCGAAGTGCCGACATGCTGAGAACACTTGATATCGAGCATGTTCTGTTTTCAGGTTTTCTCTTCACTGCAACCGCCTGGCATGCACTCATCGCTCTGCCCCACAACACGCGAACTCCTGTATGAAAATGTCATGTCTTTTATCTGTTGCAACCGCTTGCTTTGTATATGCGATGACTTTATATGCTGAAGTCCTTGTAGCTCCATTTTTCCGTGAGCGTTGTACGGGCCTGCTTCCGGAATGGTCTCCGCCTGCGAGCCTCGACTCTTCCCCTAACCATCATGCTGCGGTAGCGGTCTTTGAGCAGGTTGCCTTCAGGCTTGAGCAGGCGCAAAGTGTCTTGTAGTTCGTCTGGGAGTACCAGCTCGAGATCCTTCTCGGGGAGTCTGTACTTGCCCAACTGCTTGCGGCGGAGGACGTCGTCCGTGCCCTCCATGCTATTGTCGCTATCCTCGCCGTTCTCGGCCAGAACTAGTGACGAGTCCTGCTCAGCAATCTGCGCCGCGATCTCCTTGATGCGCTCGGCCTGCGCCTTCTTTGCTCTCTCCTTGGCTTCGTGCTTCAGACGTCCCTCTTCGGCCTTCCTCCGCTTCACACGGTTTCGCTGAACCGGAGTCTTCCGTTCAGGCCTCTTCTTGCTGGTCTGGAGCTCTTCACCACCACTCTGCACGCCTTCCCATTCCGAATCTTCGTCCCACTCGGATAGCTCAGCTCGTGCTTCGGCGGCCTCCGCCTCGGCAGCTGACCTGGCGACAGCCTCTTTTCTAAGACGCTCAGCTTCCTCCTCGGCCAGGCGCTTCTTCTCTGCTTCGACAGCTTTGTCCGCCTCAGCCTTGTACCGCGCCTCGTAGTCCTCAAACTTGGGATTGTAGCTGTATCCGCCCGATGGCTTGGCAACAGCCGGTATCTCCTTGCCGCTGGCTGCCAGAGTCAACGGCTTCTGCGTGATTGTCTTGGGCGCCTTCTTCTGATCATCCCGCATGTCATGAATCACTGCTGACTTCTGCTTGACAGGTGCCGCAACAGTCCACGGGTCGAAAGTATCTTCCGAAATTTCGATCACCGACTCGTGATGACCGTCCGCTACTTTGCGTAGCCTCGAGAGTTCTTTCTGTGTGACATATTCGGTTCGCTGGCGCTTGACGGGCAGGATCCCGTCAGTTGTCTTGTCGCTGGCACGCTTACGCAGCGAGACAGCAGGCACAGCAGATCGGGCTGCAATGATCTCGTCGGCCTTGAGAAGTTTTGAGCTCTTCTTCGGGTGCTTCTTAGTAATGGCGGCATCGCCAACGACGTCAAGGGTGAAGAGTTCGTCGGCTGGGCGCTCGGCAACGACACCACTGTAGAAGAGATCATCAGCACATGAGAAATTGTTGGGAGTATCAGTGTTTGCGTTACGTACCCCTTGATGATTTCTTCGTTGAGCTCATCGAGGCCCTCTTCTACTTCGGTCACGTCGACGTTCTTCCTCCACGCCTTCTTGCCTTTCCTCGAAGGCTGCTTGAAGGACCCTGGACCAGCGGTCGGGCCGGCAGCAGGTTTGATGACGGGCATGGCCGCGATGTCTGATGTTCTTGCAGAGTACCGGTCTCGACGGTATGAGCCTCCACGCAAAAGGAGGACTATCGATTATCGTGATTGAGCGGCACCTGCAGATATTGAGAGGCACGAATCGTTACTGTCGAAGAGGAATG